GGGAGGGGCCACAGGTTGGTTGGCGGGCTGGCCCCGCATCCTGGTAGAACTCCTGACTGAACTCCTGGTCAAGGGGACAATTTGCATATTAAGTTTTTATTTTATAGGATTGCATTTAATTATCTAAAGGCATATGAGAATAACATATTTTATTTTTATAGTACCCATCTATCAAATTATTTGTTCTATCAAAAGCCTAAGACTCTTGGCAAAGGGTTGGAAGAGGTGGGTGCAGGGAGGAGGGGGTCAATGGGGAAAATACAAAAACAAAAAACCAAAGTGCACATCTGTAATACCTTCAACAAAGATAAATTTAAAAAAAGAAGAAAAATAAAACAAAAAATATGAGCTGCTTTAAAAAGGAAATATTTCTAAATAATATAGCCATACTGAGCAACTTAATAAAGACAAATACATTTTTCATAATTATTTTGTTTCTTTTTCAAAGCCAAGTGAAGATCATGGATGAAGCCAAGACTAAAAAATACACAGCATTCCAACAAAAGCCAGCCAAGCTACAGGACTCCTACTCTCTGGAAAGATCTTTGGTTAGTTCCAATCTTACATATGTTTCTTATTAATTGTATGATTACATATACATCTCTAATTCATGTATTCTGTACACATTAGTGGCCACTAAATGCTTTATTTATTTTTCTTTTAATCCTCATCCGAGGAGGAGAGGAAGAGAGAGAGAGAGAGAGAGAGAGGGAGGGAGGAGAGGAAGAGAGAGAGAGAGAGAGAGAGAGAGAGAGAGAGAGAGAGAGAGAAAGAGAGAGAAACATCAATGTGAAAGAGAAACATTGATTAGTTGCCTCCTGCTCACACCCAGACTGGGTATTAAACCTGCAACTGAGATATGTGCCCTAACCAGGCAGGGCAATAAATGCTTATTGATGAGAATTTATGATGATGTCTGGGAAAGTTGACAATTGGAATCTAGAAAATGTATTTATAGGTCACAGTACAATGAAGACTTAAGTTGAATCCTCAGGTATTGAGAGTCCAAGAAATAAAGTCTAGTACAATACATAGATAAACCAATCCCAAGACATAAGCTCCTCTGTTACCTAGAACTAAAAAGGACCTTAAAGTAATCAAATTGACTCTTTCTTTTTGAAGATAAGGAAAATTAGGCTTAAGGATGATAGGTGATTAGCCCAAAATCACTCTATTAATTTGTGGCACTAAAAGAAATATTATTTAGGTGTTCTGACTCAATAGTAAGTACTTTTCTAAGTATTGACTCCTATGTTCAGTGAGATCTTGAATCTACTACTTCCCAATCAGACTCACTCAGTGAGCTCTCTCAGCATAGTCTCCTTTACCACAGATACTTAACTTTTTTAGAAGTAAGGTGTTCAATGCCCAATATATAACAAACCCATTTGAACAAAGGAGACATTATTAAATGAATCTTGAAGTATGAGAAATGTTTTTCCACTCCCTTTATCCATGTATAGAATTTCTCCATGAGTTATTTTTTCTACAGTCCGATTATCCTGCAAAGTCTTCTGTTCATAAAAGTATGAAATACGTTGCTATTGGTACTTGAATTAAGGATCACCAAGTAACAAAATATTTTCCTTGCCAGCTGCTTAAGCGAATGTTAGCTTTAACTCATTATAAAAATGCTTCAGAGAGCCCTAACTGGTTTGGCTCAGTGGATAGAGTGTCGGCCAGCAGACTGAAAGGTCCCAGGTTCGATTCTGGTCAAGGGCATGTACCTTGGTTGCAGGCACATCCCCAGTAGGGGGCGTGCAGGAGGCAGCTGATCAATGTTTCTAACTCTATCCCTCTCCCTTCCTCTCTGTAAAAATCAATAAAATATATATTAAAAAATGCTTCAGAGAATTTTTAACACATCATTTAACCTCATAAGTTGCCAGGGCTTATCATGGGGGCCAATTATTTTTTCCTGTTGAATATTTATTACCTTCAAAGGCAAGGAACATAAGTTCCAAAGATTATTTACATAAAATATCAGATTGCTGTATTTTCTTCAATGGAGCTGTCACTAGTGTGAAAGTGTGTGTTCATCCTAAAGACTCAATTGCAATAGAGAAAGAATAAAAATATCTACCAATACAAAAGGGATTTTATTGGACATAAATTTCTTTCTCCAAAGTAACCAAAATGATTATGATTAAGCCCAATAAATTTATTTTTGGTATTCAGACCAAAAATTCAGGTGGTCCTTTCAGCTGCCTTGGGCACAAACCAATTTAGTTTGTTTTCATCTACTGCATTAGCTTTCATGAACACTCAGCTATTACGCATTCAGTAAATGTTCAGGAATGTGGAGCTGTGGGACTGTAACCTGTTGCTGTGAGATAAGCGATGTGGGCAAGAACATTGGGGTTATCCTCTACTCTTTTCAGAGTCTCAGAAGAAAATAATCTCATTTCCGCACAGCTCAGCCACCTGAAAGTTCATATTATGAGATGCTGTGAATTATATTTGAGAGCAAAGTTTTCTGTACAATGTTATTCGTGTGTTTATAGCTGCTTACATGAATAAACCAATGAAAGGGAGTATCATGAAATACTTTTATTATAGGCTGAGAATTAATTTGTGTCCTGCAGGAAGGGTGCCTTATCAGTTTTGCTGAGATTTTATTCAGAAATTTAAATCCAAATGGTAGTTTGTTTGAAGTTTTGAATCAAGTGCACTTATTGACTTATATTATCTGCAGGATCTTGTTCCTTAAAGAACTCACTTAGTTTATTTATTCAAACAGGGTAATTAGTGGTTACTGAAGGTTTGATGTATTGGGGATTGAGATGAGGAAGACATGGTTTGTTCTCTTAAGAAATTTATAAGAAAAGAAAAAGTGACAAATATGGTCTGTAGGAGAAATATGGGAAAGCTACCCAAAAGCAAGTTAGAAGGACCAACATATTCCTCTCAGGTAAGTCAAGAACAAGTTTGGAAAAATGATGGCAATTGGCTTTCATGATGAAGATGAGTAGGATTTCAATGGTGGAAAAGAAGGCGATGAACAAAGGCCTAGAGAAAGTTATTCCTTGGAACTACTTTTCCTTTTGTTATGCTATTTTCCTTCCTGTTGACTCAGTCCCCTAAATCCTTATTGGTTTCTACTAGCTCTTTATAAATTGACAAGATGAACCGTTACCTGTCATATATGTTTAATGGATTTTCCCCCCTATCACTCATAGTATTTTTGCAAACATAAATTTTAAATTTCTATGTGGTCTAATTTATCATTCCTTTTATTTAGGTGTTTTATTTTGCTTAAAAAGACTTCTGACACTGCAAGATAAGATCTAAATGTTCCCATATTTTTATGCAACAATTTTACAGTTTCCTCATTTTATTATGTTTAACATGTTGAACCAGAAATCATTGTTTAAATCAGTTTAAATCTAGAATTTATTTTGGATAATAAATGAGACAGAAATTAATCTTTTTTTTTCAACAGGTGGTCAGATGACAGCACAATTTAATTGAAAAATCTGATTTTTCATTAATGTGAAATACCTCTTTGTCATATTAAATATTCCTATGCTTTCAGCTAAATTTATAGATTTTCTATTCTTTTCCATCTGTCTATTTCATCCCCAAATTGTCTAAAATTATACATTTAATAACTTCTCAGGTTACTAGTCCTTCCCCATAAATATTTATTCTCAGAAGTCTTTTATTTATTTTTGTGTTAATTTTCCCAAAACAATTTCTTGTTTTATTCATTGAGATCTCCTTAATCTAAGGAAACATTGCTATTGTTCTCAGTTAATCTCCAATCTTGGAGAAAGACATATCTTCCCGTTGATTGTCTCCATTCATGAAATTTAACAGACTTCTTATTATATAGTTTCTGCTCATTTCTTGTTTTGCTATTCAAAAATCTTAATCAACGTGATATCACATGATTAAAATATTACATAGTAAAGAAACCTGATGATGGGTTTCTTAATGGATAAGAAACAATGAATAATAAACAATGCTGCATGCCTAAGTATTTCAGCCCCACTTCCCAGAGGCCACCATTCTTAACCATTTGTCTTTTTACTTCTGGTGGTGCTATCCATATAACCTATTCAGTACTTTAGACATAGACTTCTGCTATGATGTGAAGATTTAGTCACAACATCACTCCCCACTTTGCTTGACCACTCCCACATTTTGTACATAAATCATTATTTCTATTTCATCAAACTCTCACAGAACGGCTTGCCATCACACTGTGTAATAAGAAGGTCTCAGCATTGCTGCTCATCCCACCTTCCCCTTCTCTCATTTCACCCTATTTTGCTACTCTACCCCTCATGTCCAAACCTATAGATATAAACAGGAGTA